AGCTTGTCCAGGTCCCTCTGGATGGCATCCCGTCCCTCTGGCGTGTCAACCGCACCACTCAGCTTGGTGTCATCTGCAAACTTGCTGAGGGTGCCCTCGATCCCACTGTCTATGTCATTGATGAAGATATTAAGCCTTAAGTCTGGTCCCAATCACGTGGGCAGACCAATGCTTAATGCAGAGAAAATCAGAGCGTTAACCCTAAGCATCACGCCATCAGCAAGTCGCTGCCTCAGTTTCCCCTCCAAGCTTTTGCTTGTGGGCCATGGTGTTTGGAAGGGGAGATTTCTTTCTGCTAATGAGATGATCCTTGAATATCACAAGCGAGCAGGAAGGAAAACGTAGGGACGTGAAAAAGTAAAAATAAACCCGTCTATAAATAACCCCCCTCCGGCAGCACCAGGCGGCACGGCATGGTAAAGCCCCTTCCAGGGACGGGCAGCTGCTTCCAGCATGCCGCACGGCAGGAAAACAGAGATTTCTTTAACAGCTACAAGAAATTGCTCTTTTCTTGGTGGAAAAAAACGTCCTCGAGCAACCACCTCTAGGCACGCAGATGAAAAGGGGACTCTTCTGCACACAGCCAGTTCAGCCCCGGGGATGCACGTGGGGAGGAGCAGGTGAGGAAATTTGGACATCCTGGATTTGTTTCTGTAATTAGCCCCATCAGACAGCTGGGATTGATTTTTGCCCGCTCCAAGCAAAGCCTGGTTTAAAGTTATTCCCGTAAACCCATGGGGAGAACTTGAGTCCCTTCAGAAAAATCCTGTTTGAAGAGCGATGCTCTCCCCTGCACGGGGTCACCAGCCTCCCTCCTCCCCCAGTGCCACGTCCTGGACCATGTCCAGTATCCTCGACCATTCCCAGTCCAGCTCACACCGCATTGTCCTCTTCCCAGACTCATTCCCTACAACGCCCGAGCAGCAGCTCCCATCTGTGCCGTGGCAGAAGGGTCCCCAGGGCTGTCGTATCCCTTAGGAAAGACCAAAAAGCAGGGCCAGACAAGGAAACATGCATGGGATGGACACCTCCACATGGCGAGAAGGCTTTTCCTCACAGGACATGACCAGAGATGTCCCAAGAAGCCCCGAAAAATGTTCAACCAAGGATAGGCCACACAAGGACTGCAGGCACAAGGGCAAGGGAGCATCCCTGCGCTGTCACCCCGGGAAATGCAAGGGATGCTTTGCCCTGAGAGCCCCAGAGGTGCCTCCTGGGGAAGCACCAGCAGAACAGAGCCCCACGGGAAGCCTCAAAGGGGAATAAATTGTGTCTGGCAATAACCTTTGGGCTAAGGGATGTGCACTCATGCAGTCCTGGGCTCCCCAAAAATTCCCCGAGACTGAGCTCTGAGCCCCCTTCCAGCACCCCCCCTCCATTTTCCTGCATCCTCGTGGCCAGCCCACCACCAGCACCACGAACCGATTGTGCCCCAGAAATCCCAACAGAAGAAAACTAAACAGGTTTCCAGTTGCAATTGAAAAACTATCATGATGTTGATTCAGCCTTCGAAGAATACGGATAAAAGCGGGTTGCCAGTTGTAGGCAAAGAGCAGGCAATGCTCGGAGACGACGTGAGCACAGGTTATATTTAGGGCAATCCAATAAAGCTGTACTTTGACCTTAAAAAAAGGGACCGAGTGCAGCTGGGAAGAAAAGCAAGGCGAGCAGCGCGCTTCACAGACCTCATATTAATGCATCAAGCTTCTGCAGTGCACATATTTATTTTGTCAAACTGTCAAAAATGGCACCTTTACGGTTTTATAAAAAGAGGCATTAGAATAGAAAACGCTTTGTAGCTAAAAAAAAAAAAAAAAGAATACATTGCCCGGGTTTTGATATTGAATAGGATTGAAAAGCTGAGGAAATAGGGGCTGCAAAGGGATCGCGGAGCGGAGTGAGACGGAGAAGCTGCGTTTTCATCTGGGTAGAGGCGGCAATGCTGCCCGGTGTAACACATGGATGGGGTCTCTGACACATCGATCAATACATGTGTTTGCACACTTTTCAAAAAGCTTTTGACCTGAAGCTAGCTAATAGATGGAGATCTGAAACGCTGCTGAATTTTCCCAGATGACTATTTTTGGTCCAAAATAAAAAGCCTATTTTTCCCCGTCCCCAGCTGGGGAGAGGCAGCCCCCGTTTGGAGTCACCCTGTCTCCGAAGGATGCAACTCCTGAGCCAAATGCAGCCCATGAACCCACGGGGGCAGGGAACAAGCGATGGCATGAAGAGCCACAAATTTGGGTTGAAATCCTTTGCTGTTGAGCAAGAGGGAGAGCAGAGCAGAGCCCCCACCCCGGCACCCGCCAGAGCCGCCCCAGCTGGGACTGGGGGGCTGGGAGGTGCTGCTTTTAAGGGGACATTAGGAAGGGATGATGCAATATTTCACAGCTAATGGCTGTCAGAAGCGTTGCCGTTTCAGCACAGGCTTTTTGAAACACTGCCAGGAGGAGGCTGGAAATTCAACCTCACCTTGGGGAAACTTCTCCGAGAGAAGGTAACTCGTGGCGGGATGCAAAGCGGCACCACATCAAGCCCCGCGGCTGAATGCATGGTCTAGAGGTGAGGGAAATAACTGACTATTCAGAAATAAATGTATTTCACATGATGACAGCTGCTCTGGGATCAGCTGCGGCCTCCCCGCCTCGAGGCCAGCGGGGATTTTGTGATTGCCCACCCGTGCAAGGAGTACGCCGGGATGCTCGGTGCCGCGTTTCCCACCAGGCGCGTGGGTGACAGCGGGTATGTGGCAATTCCTTGAGACCGAGGCAGCTCTGGAGTGTTTGGGATGGTTTGGGAGACCCCAAATCCCAGCTTGCTTCCCAACCAGCTGCAAGAAGCCTCCTCCAACAGTCTCATTCCTGCACTTTGCTGCAATGACCCTGAGCATCACCAGCCACCCAGCCAGCAGATCTTTAAGACCTCAACCTCCCTCCCCTGGCCCCGTCCCAAACTCACTCTTACTAGTCCCATACCCAGTTTTACATGTAATAGAGACAACAGCTTTGGGAAAGGGAAGAAAAGCTCCAGGACACCGTGACTTATCTTGCAAGGTTTCCCACATCCTCAGGAGCGAGGAGACCTCCCATGGTCAGGCTCCGGTCTCATGGAGCACCCGCTCTCCTTGCAAGCACCCAGTTTTCCCACCTCTGCTGCCCTTCTGGCCGTTTCACAGACCATTGGACCTAACACTTGCATCCTGCTAAGCCTTCAGACACCCGAGCTATTTTCACAGCACCAAGTTATTGATGAAACCTGGTGTCTACACGTGGCCAGCTGCTTCACACAATTAAAGGCTTTTCCACGCTGTGGCGATGCTTGAGCAGGGTCCAGACCCCATCACCCATCCAGGGACCTGACCAGGGCACCATGCAAAAAACCAAAAAAACAAACAAAAAACCCAGAACAGAAGCTGCCGATCCCACCAGATTACATCCCTCCTGGTTAAAACAAACCATTCCTGTCTCAAGCTCCACTTCTACAGGAGATGGATCTGCCTGGACTCACTTAAATGGGATTGCTGTCTGCTTCGCAGCACAAGTCACAGCAGATGGAGAACATCTCTTTGCTAGAGCCAGCCTTGCCTCCCAGTAACGTTTGACTGCAGGAAGGTGTTTCGGAAAGAAAAAATTATTCCAGCTGAGCATGAGACATCGAAGCTTACCTGGTGATGATGGCAAGGTGGGGAGGACTCATGCAAGCTCCCATGAAGAGCACCACGTTCTCGTGCCGGGTCTGCCGGTACGCCATCACCTCCCTCTTGAAGGCCTTCAGCTGGTCCTCGTTGTCCCGCTCGATGTCGATGAGGCGGATGGCCACCTCCCCGTGCCAGCGCCCGTGAAAGACCTGCCCGAAGCGGCCCTTGCCGATGAGCTCGCCAATCTCGAGCTGCTCGAAGGGGATGTCCCACTCCTGGAGGAAGATGCTGGTCTGGCTGGCCTTGCGGGGGAAGTTGCGTGCGGAGAGGAGCGAGAGGTTCATCTCTTCAAAGTCATCCTCGGACTCCTGCGCCTCCTCAGTGCCTTCCTCATTCTGCAGGGGGGGGCAAAGGGAGGTGAGCATAATAAAACGGGGGGAAAAAAAACTGTGGCCAAGGAAGATGACGTGGACAAAACCCCACTGATGCACCTACTGCTCACTCAGACCCAGAGAAACCGGGCAGGTACCTTCCAAAGGCAACCGGGCGGCTGCGCTTTATGCAAAGCCAGCAGAAACCCAGATTTTGCAGGGAGGGAGTTTATTTACCCCAGGGTTAAATATAAGAAAGCGACACAATTCATTTTTCTGAAAGCAGTGTTTCATCCTACCCCTGCCGAGCCGTGCTCTGCTAATACCGACTGCTCCCAACCCAGCGCTCCCCAGTCTGCAGCCCCCAGCCCCCCGAGACAGGTCTGGCTTTTTTCTTGACGCTCTGTATATGCTTTCTACAGGATTTACAATGCCCATTAAAAGCTGCATCCGCGTCCTCACCCTTCACCCCTTCCCCTCCACCGCATTTTTAATGCATCTCAGAAAAACTCATTGAATTATAAATTTGAAGGCAGCCGCGAAGCCCATCAGCGTCCCTCTTCATGGGGTGGGGACACGGATGCCTGGGCAGGATCAGGCCTGGCCATTAATTCAATTATCAGCAATTTCACCGCACAGATGCTAAACTTATCTGGTTCCTGTGAAATGTGCCCCAAGATGTACATAAAATAAAGGCCCATTAAGCAGAGGAGCGAGCCCAGCCATCTCACCTCCGAGGTGGGCTCCACTTCAATTTGAAGCAATGGGTTTCCTTCCAGGCTGTTAAAAGAATCACTGAATTACCGCCAGGTAAAAAACCACGGTTTGGTGGGGAGCACGCGCAGGCGTCGAGTCCTGCTTCCCGCAGCATCGCTCTGCACCAGGACTAAAGGGATCCGGGAGGAGAAGTACCAGGCTCGCTGCTAATTTGGGAGAGCAACCCCTTCCCACCCACACCCTGGCTGCCTCCGTCCCTGAGGACGGCCCTGGGTGCTCGCACGGGAGGGGTGAGGATAGCAGGAACGAGCAATAGTCATTACTGCATCAATTAATATTGGATGCGTGAAGCTCCAGGATGGATTTGGTGATGTGGGAGCACACGACCGGGTCTCCATCCCGTCGCCCAAAGCGCACGGTGCGGAGGATGCACCATCGCTGTGCGCCCTGGGAGGCGTCACCCCTGGTTAACCCAGGGTAAGGGACAGATTTACACCCTCGCAGCTTTTGACCTTATCGAGGCAGCACTGGGGCATGCATTCATGGCATTTTTAGGTGGTTTCTAAGATCAGAATTACCTTCCCAACGAACACCAGCCAAAGCAACAAGCGCGGCTGATTAGCAGCCATAAAAGAAGAAAACGGGTTTTTCAATTATTTTTGAGAAGTGGAGGTTTCAAAGACTTTTCCTGCAGTAAGAGCACCCAAATTTGTCTAGTTTCCCAGCTCCCTGGGCCAGGGGCTCCTCTTTTTCTTCTCCGCTTACACAGCACCTCCCACCACCAGGTCCATGACCAGGGTCCCGCTGCACCCGACAGCTGACAGGGAATTAGGGAAATTCCGTGAGGAAGATGACCTGGAGCAGCTCGGGTGGTTTTGAACACAATATAAATATATTATAAGTTATTACTATCATTAACATAAATAACAGCGTCCCCTCCCAGAGGCAGCAAGGATCACAGGAGAGGCATAACACTCCCTAAGCCACTCGCACGCGGTGGTCCTGTGCCTCCTATGCCATCCAGTCGCCACTAAAGAGCTATAAATCCCAGGGGAGACAAGTTGCGTATACAAAAGGAGCTGACCCTGGTATTTTAAGCAGCATAGAAAGCCCAGGTGGATGCAGACGGCTTCTGCTGCCCGCCACGATGCACAGGCGGTTTGCAGGAGCAGTAGTTTCCTCCTGCCTGATCTTTAACCCAGGCACGAATACCTGTCTCCCGAGTATCCGAAGCAGAGTCTGCTGTTTAACCCAGCCAAGCCCGGGGTAACCTCAGCAGCTCCCACGGGTTATTTTCAGTGGGGCGAGCAAGAGGAGAATCACAGATTTTGCATATTGAAAGCTATTTTCCCACAAAAGCCTGCCAGCCCTACGCCTGATACCTTGCTTTAGGGCAGGGAAGGAAAAAAAAAAATAAAAGGCTTTGACTTCACCACTTTGCCATTCATTTCCAGCCACCAGCGGGGACAGCAGCTCCGTCCCCGTCCCTCCCATCGCCTCCCCCAGAGATGAGATCCGCCAGACCCCCCGGCAGTTGCCAATAGAGTTCGGAGCGCCATGGGCGAGCCGGACACAAACCGCATCACAGCCTGGAGCGAGACCCTATCTGTTAAACTCCTGGCTTGTAAAATCCTTCACAAAATGGCATTTATAAAAAGGACCGGCAAGCAACCCTGAACTGTAACATGGCTGCGGGATGCTGCCGGGGCAGCACAGGCGCGAGGACCTTGGTGAAGGCCAGATTCAGCGGAGCAGCTCAGACCCGACCTGCTGGGGAGAGCTAGTCCTAACGCCGATTACATACTGCATTTCAAAACTAATTTCAGTGCAAAGTTTATTGGGCTTCAAAATATTACAGGTGGGGCTGCAAGAACCGCCTTTATTAAAACTATCTCAAAGACCCTGGTTCTTTGCTTATAATTCAGTAGAAGATTAATTGCTTGGGCTTTAGTTTCTCAGACTGAGAGTCTTTTTTTTTTCCGAGGGCGAAGCGCTGCGTGGGTGCATTGCTGTGGGTTATAAATCAATCCCCTCCCCTCTCCTTTCAACCCTTCTCCTCCCTGAGACACAAGCCAGAGCCGTGAGCTGGGTTAGGGCGGCAGGAGCACCGGGGGGTCACCACGACCATCCACCCCAACCTGCCCAAAGGGCAGCCCTGAGCCCCAAACTGGTCTTGCAAAGCCAGGGGACCACCCATGGGTGCCCGGAGGAGGTGGGGTGCACACGATGCGCTGCCTGGGGAGGGGAAGGTGAAGCTAGCCGGGAGGAGGGGGAGGCACTCACATGGGGTTGGAGTTGACAGGGTGGAGGACCACCTGCGGGGCTCGGGTCGGCGTCTCAGGTACCACGTCTGGGGAGAAGAGAATGGAGTGAGGGCGGGCTGGGAGGCACCAGGAGCCCTTTCCAGTGCCAGGGGCACCCGGGGGAACTAAATCCCACTGAAAACCTCCCTTCGTCCCCAGGTCCAATTTAGTTACACCCTTAGCTATAGCTGGGTATAACTTAGGGTCACCCAGCCCTGTAGCATCTTAGTAGTGCACGGTCCTGCAACAATATACTAGTTTTGGGGAGAAACCCCACCCCAGCACAACCCCCCTGCACAAATCCAGGGGTCAGGAGAGCCGGCCATGCACCCACCCCCCTAAGGGATATCTTAGCACCCTGCGTTACAGGAGAGACTTTCGAAGAGACTTACCCGGGAAAATGAACTGCTGCTTGTACTTGTAGTAATGGGAAGCTGGAAAAGAGAAAAGGGGGTTTAAACACCGACCTGCAGAGCCAGACTCTGGAGAGGCTCCGACCTGCTCCGAATCCTGCACCATAAACTGCCGGCCCCAGGTCCGGGCCCCCCCCCTGCATGACCCAACCTCTCCCACCTCCATCTCTCCGGAGGATGCCACCCACGATGGCACATAGGGTGCCCAGGCCAAAAAATTAAGACCTTAGCCCTCTAATGATCCGGCTGGATTATAACTTAATGTTTGCCACCATCAGCTACTGCTGATGCATTTGGACAGTGTTGATGTCATCTGCAAAGTTGCCGGTGGGATTTGGACACCTGGTTGCCAGCAGTGCTTGGCTCCCGACCGGCCTTCAGGAACCGCTCGGCATCATGGAGACACCAAGCAATGGATTTGCAGCTGCTGCCCGTTTTTGCCCGATCCAGCCCATCTAACCGTGCATTTTTGCCATGCTTCAGAGATGCGTCCTTCCTGGGCTGGCTGCCTCCCTCCCGGCGCACCGAAAGGAGCGGGCGGCTGGCAGCAGCCCCAGGAGCCACTGCCCAAAGCCAGCGCTGCAAAAGGGCTCTGGGTGGTGGTACCCTCCATCGTCTCCCTGTCGCCAGCGGGCAAAGCCCAAGGGCTGATTTGACTCAGGGCATGCAGGTCATGGGTATGAAGCAAGACAGAGCTGCTGAGGCCACTAGAGGTTAGCACCAGCTCAGAAGGCACCTTCTCCTTGAGCTTCAAGACCTCAAAGACTGTCCCTCAGCTTCTCTCCAGCTTCGAGACCCCGAAGACTGACCTCAGCTCTGCAGTGGGACCTGAGCAGCCCTGAGCCAAGATCAAAGGAGACTCGAAGGTAATTCTGGCAGAAAAAGGTCACCGTGTTGCAATTTCCAAGCTCAAATCCTAATCCCCAAGATGACCATCTTGATGAGATGAGAACTTCCCGCGCAGGAAGATGAAAGCACAGTAAATCCTGCTTTGTGTCAGATCAGCTCCTGTTTGCCACAGGGTTCCGCTCATCACAGGCATTAAAGCAGGGAGCAACCCCCTCGGAGCTGCCGGGGTCTGATCCTGCCCCGCTCCATCCCTGCTGGCCGGGCAAGTGTGCCAGGGGCTCCCTGCGCTGGCTCAGCTCCGGTGGCAGCGACAGCATGTCCAGGTCCCCATGAGGAGATGCTGCTGCCCACTGTGAGGGTTACTTCTGTGGTTTCTGCTTTAAACAACATGAAATCACGTCTCAAATGATCTGCAGGGAGGTCTCTGCTCCAGAAGTGATGCGTGACAGGGTCACCAAATGCTGGACCCTCTGTCCCTTCCCCCCAGACCCAGGCAGGGTCCAGGCTTGCCCAGCAAGCAGTCTGGGGACATTAATCGCTGCGAGCCCGGCTATCGGGCTGCCAAGACATCAGGATGCTTTGGCTCTGGCTGGACCACCGTGAACTCAGTTATACCGGCATAGAAACCCACGCCGTGCTCTCAGGTTTGCAGCCACGCTGTGGACTATCCCCTCCCAGCACTTGGAGGCTCGAGGGCTGCAGCTGGTGAGATCCCGACCTGGGGAGCAGGAGCCAAGCCCCTCCTCGCCAGATGGGTCACATCAATCCTCGCAATGCCCAGTGCTTCCTCACAGCTCCTCCACTGTTTTCCTCGTGCCCCTCCAGCATCCTGCCTGAGCCCCAGGCACTCCAGCGAGCAAGACTTGTGCGCGGCTGCAGCCTCTCCGGGCACACAAGGGCCTGTGTTGCTTGGTTTTTATTTTTTTTCCAGCTTTTGGAAATGTTTGTTATTGTGGTGATGTGATGTGATGTGATCCTGCTAGTCAAATCCCCCCCTCACCTCTCTCCTCCTCCTCTCTAGCTGAAGGCTTGTCAAGACAGAAGGGAGGAATCACCACGGTGCAGCAGATCAGCGGAGCATGAAGGTGCTATCTGGTTCCTCCGTAGAAGCAGTCCTGACTCTCCTTCCTACCTGGACCAGTTCGTTAACCCTGGAGGTTTTTTGGATGCCGGATGGACCCCAACCTCCTGGCTGCTGCCCCGTCAAAGAAGCTCAAGGCCACGGACCAAACAGGGGGTCACCATCCCCAGGCCAGCCAGGAGTCCCGAAATCCTGAGTTTCAGCATCTCAGAGATGGGTCAGGGCCATGGCTCCCCCTCCTCTCCCCTCGCCAGGCCCGTTTTTGGGAGCAGCTGGAGAGGCAGGCGGGTGGCTGAGGACAGTCCATCCCCTCCACGCTGCCAGGAGTAATGCTGAGCCATCCCCCTCCAGGAAGGGACCTTCCCTGGAGCAGCAGCACTGCCCAAGGACATCCCGAAGGCAGCTGCGCTGGGGCAGGCATCGGTACGTCCTCAGGCCAGGAGGAGCATTTTTGGCCATTCAATGTAAATCCTGTGTCCTGCAGCCACCATGACCAAATTACCTCTTCCACCCTCCCTGAAGAGACTGAGCTCCAGGAGCAGATGGGTCCCAGGTACCCAGACAAGACTTGGTAGGACAAGCTACATCAAACACCCCCAGCATCAGCTACTCCCCACTATCACCCCATGCATGCTGCCAGCATCACCCCAAAGACACAGTGAAGTCAACCCAAGTTACCCTTGTTTCCCGTTTGCTGTTGAGGCAACGCAGTGGGCACATGCCACAGAGAAGTCATGCCTGGAAAGGTTTTTGTAGCCTCAAGTGCAGCAGGTTGCCCACAGAGGTTGTGCTGGCTCCATCCTTGGAGGTTTTCAAGACCAAACTGAATCGAGCCTTGAGCTCTGACTCTGCTTCAAGCAGGAGGCTGGACTAGAGACTCGCAAGCTCCCTCCCAACCTGAATTGTCCTAAACTCGTCTTTGCTGCTCATTTCTGCTTCCAACTTCTCCCCATCCCAGTGTAAGTCCAGGCAGGCAAGCAGATGGAGCAGATCCTTACCCTGAGGACACCCCGGGGCACAAGCCCCTTTCATCAGGCAGATGTGGAGGCGGGGAGCCCATGGGGAACCCAGCACGGTACCTGGCAAGTTGAACTGCTTCTGCTGGCGCGGGCACTGCGGGGAGGGGTGCAGGGGGGATGGGGGCGTCGCGCTGGGCGGCAGCGGCGGGGCCGGCGAGGAGGGTGTGGAGGAGGTGGTGGAGGAGGGGTTGCTGCTGGAGTCTGGCTGGTAGGGCACCGGGATGTGGTCCTGTAGGACACGGTGAGGAAGAGAAGAAGAGAGGAGCCGGTGAGAGCAGTGCCAGCTGGTGCCACCCCAAGGTGCTCCAGTGCAGAGGACCCCGGGTGACAAGTGAGAGCTACTCAGGTCATCCCAGTCCCCTGTTTCCAGAAGCCCTAGAAAACAACCAGAGCCCCAGCCTCGCCTTTTCCAAAGCCATTTGTATTCACAGTTTGCACCAAGGCCACTTCACACCAGAAACAGGGTTCCTCTCCCCGCCCCTCCATGCTATGCACCCACAGCTGAGGGTTCCCTAAACCCCGCTGGCTCTGCAGAGCCATGGCCACCAAGACCAGAGTTGGGGGCCACATCCCTGGGATTCGGTCCTTAGAGACATCAAGGACCTGGCAGCTTCTGCTGACCTCCTTCAAGCCAAAAACCCAGCACTTTGCTTGGCGCAGGGGCTGAGCCGAGGCAGATTTGAAAGGATCAGCCAACGCATCCGAAGACATCCCTTGCCCTTCGTTGACCCTTCCTAACCAAGGCAAGGATGACAGCTTTGGGCGCGCCCCTCCAGAGCACACTGCAATGGGTGAGGAAGGGCCACCTGCGAGCAGACGGGGAGGAGGACCTGCCTGGATATCAGATCTGAAAAGGAAAATTGGAGCCAGAATTTCCCACCTTGCTCATGACCTTGCCGTCCAACTTGGGGACACTTAACAGGCTCTGACCTTCAGCAGCACTGAGCACTCCCATCTCCAGACAGGTGCACCCATGGCAAGATCCCTCCAGGGTTAGAAAATCTGCACAAGCCTCCCCCAGCAGGTAATTTTGTCCAAATTGATTACTTTTTTAATGAGCTGGGCTTTCCAGGAAACCCACATACATTTTGTACAGACCATCCTGACATGCACGACAATCTTGGCTGGGTAAATGTCGTGGTTTAACCCCAGCCAGCAACTAAGCCCCACCCAGCCGCTCGCTCACTCCCCCCCAGTGGGATGGGGGAGAGAATCGGAAGGGTAAAAGTGAGAAAACTCGTGGGCTGAGATAAAGACAGTTTAACAGGTAAAGCAAAAGCCGCGCACACAAGCAAAGCAGAACAAGGAATTCATTCGCTCCTTCCCATCGGCAGGCAGGTGTTCGGCCATCTCCAGGACAGCAGGGCTCCATCACGCCTAACGGTGACTTGGGAAGACAAACGCCATCACTCCGAACGTCCCTCCCTTCCTCCTTCTTCCCCCAGCTTTATATGCTGAGCATGACGTCCCATGGTATGGAATGTCCCGTTGGCCAGTTTGGGTCAGCTGTCCTGGCCGTGCCCCCTCCCGGCTTCTTGTGCACCCCCAGCCTGCTCAGTCGGTAGAGCATGGGGAGCTGAAAAGTCCTTGACTGGTGTAAGCACTGCCCAGCCACAACTAAAACATCGGTGTGTTATCAACATTATTCTCATACTAAACCCAAACCACAGCACTGTACCAGCTACTAGGAAGGAAATTAACTCTATCCCTGCCAAAACCAGGACAGTAAATTATTTTTTAAGCCAAGTCTGAAGGCCACTAACAATGAGATTTCAATGGTATTCACAGAGAAGAGGGTATCGCTGAAGAAATGCTTTTAGAAACGTCAAAGTAAGAAGGAGCCCCTGTTGCATAAAGCACATTCATAGAGGAAACTTCAACCTCAAAGCCAAATATATATATATATATATACACACACACACACACTGTGCATCATCCCGCTCTGGTTAGAGGAAAGCTAGGAAAGGCGAAAGGACTGCACAGCAGAGGCAGAAGAAGAAACAGGGCTGACGACCTCCGCACCCAAAGCCTTTATCAGTGAGCCGAGTCACTTCCCCAGTGCCCCCTAATAAAATGAAAGAGCGTAGTGCCTATGTGAAACGAGTCACTGGAAGGGCTGGCACTAAAACAAAAACACATCTCTATTTCTTTTGAATTCTTGCAGTAGCTCTCCAGCCTCAAAAAGCCATTTGCAACACTCCGTAACAACAACAACAACAAAGCAGATCATTACGCTAAGGATCTCCTAAGAGCTTTAGCTTTAAAAACTGCATCCAGGAGAGCATCATCCGGCACCCAGCCTTCGCCGAGAGCCAGAAGATGCTGAGGTCCGGGAGGAGCTGGGGGTCCTGCCAGGCTTTGGGAAGCCAGGGTTTTGATGACCTGTTCCCCATCGCACCGAGGATTTCCCTCGCTTCAAGCACTTCCAGCCTGCAAACACCTCACCCTGCGCTACCTCCGGCCGCCCGCGAGAAATTTTCCACTGAAGGCAGCAGGCTCTAAATTTCATCAAAAATAACCCTGTGCCGGTTTTATCGCTATTAATGCAGGGCAAAAGCAAGCAAGCCAGGTGCACTGTCAGGTCTGGCTTGACCAGCTTTGCCAGAGACACGATCAAATTCTGGGCTTGCTTTATTTGTAACAATAAATTTGTTATTTACGGAATTCTCAGGTGGTAGCAGAGACCTCAAACCACCCCAAATCCGGCTTAGACCTGGAGACCGAAAGGCCACAATGGAGCAGAACCGGTGGGACACAGGCTATTTTGGAAGTGCTGATCCCATTTTGTTTTTAAAAGAAATAACCTTGGCGGACGCAACCCACGCTGGGAAACCCAAGGGGCGAGGGGTTTGCAGCTCTGCTCACAGCATGGCTCATCCTGCCTCAACACCAAGCTCACCCTCGCTCTGCTCCTTGAATTAGCACCCGTCCATGGGATTATTTTTTTAATTTAAGCCCCCAGGCAGGTTTCTAGGCAGCTCCTACCCAGGCGCTGACACCCACATCAGTCCTATAGCGGTGGATGTGCCTGGAGACCCATGGAGACACCTGCAAGGCTCGGTCCTGGCAGACGGCTGAGGGGCTGGGAGATGCCCCATCCTGGGGACAACCCACCAGTCCCCTCCTGCCCCAAACACAAGCCCAGAGCATGGCCCCTTTTGCTTTTAAATTCCTTCTTTTAGAAATTACTCTCCGAGCTGTGCTCCCACCCAGCTCCATCAAACAGGATTGATGCTCCCGAAGGACATGCCCTGCGAAAGCTGCTGCTCCTCATGCAAGGAGCATCCCCGCTGGGAAAGCCGAGGCAAATGGGGTGGCTCAAGGAACCCAACTCGGGTGGCATTTGAAAATGCCACTGGCTTCGGTCCCCTTGTCTGCAGCAGCTGCACGCGAAGAACCAGCAAAAGCCGCTGATATTTCGGCGACACGGGGCCGGTCCCCCCTGGCAGGGGGTGGGCATGAAGGGGGTGTTCAGAGCTGGGTGGAGCAGCTCACCTTGTTGAGTTTGTTGGTTTTGGGGAGCGTCTGGCTGACGTGCAGGTCCGAATACCTGGGGGGTTTCCTCAAGGGGTTGTTGATATCGCAGGGCACCGACTCTGTCCGGACTAACCTTGCTGGATTAAGAAGGGAGCAAGGGGAAAAGGGGATGGAGAGGAGGGGGAGAGAGATGGAGAGACATCAAAGCTTCGAAGGAGTACTTGGGGTCACCCTGCGTTTGCAAACCGCTCT